TGCTCCCCTCGGATTAGAACCTGCAACCCAGGTGTGTGCCCTTGACCAGGAATGGAACCCGCAACCCTTTGGTGAGCACTCTGACTACTGAACTACCGGCCAGGGCAATCCCCTTTTATCCTTTAAAAAAACAAACAAAAAAAAAAAAAAAAAATCTGCAGGGTTTTCTCGCTGCTGAGACAACGCAATGCGAACGTCTTCGGGAGCAGTGAGCTCCAGCCGGCTGTTTCCATCTTCTCATCAGCTTCCCTTCCGTCACCCCGTGCCAGCGTGGGCCCGCACCTCTGCCCTCTGCATCCTCTCATCCACGCTCCTCCGCATCCCCTGCCTGGAGCCCTCCTCCCTGCTTCCTACCAGCCAGCTCCCTCCTCGCCCAGCTGGGCTGACTCACCGCAGGGTCAGTTCCCCTCCTGCCAGCTCTCACCTCCCTCTTCCTGTCTCGGTTTTATGGGATTTTTAAAAATCACGTCTCATGCTAGGCTGAGCCGTGAGAGCAGGTGCCCGTCTATCTGACCCTCCCCCCCCCCCACCCCCCAGGTTCCTGGCCTCCTGCCCGGCACGGACACGTGGCCCTGATTGGTCAATATCCGTTGGGTCAACGAGTAAATAGGTGAATGAATGAGGTCAGTCATCAGAACCGCGGCCCCCTACGTGGGTCCGGCACTTGAAGTGGGTCTTTAACTCCAGGCTGCAGTGGCCGCGTCCCATGTCTGCACCCGCCTGAATGTCCCCTCAGCTCCTGCCCCATCTGTCCGCCCGCCTAAGCCCTGTTCCTCCCGCACGGCCACCTCCGGAGCCCTCCTCGGACCTGAAGCGACAGCAGGTCTGGGCCACTCTCTCAGCTGGGACAGAGGGCCTGGCCCCGCTCGGGCCTCCCCCGGCCGGGGCCCACCCAGTGGAGCCGAGGGTGGACTTACACCGTAGCTTCTCGTCCAGGGTCCCCCTCGAGGTCACCGACAGCGCCTGGATGAACTCAGAGAACTCGATCCGTCCGTCCTGGCAGGAGAGAGGGGCAGGTGGCCTCGGTCAGTCGGGCCACCTGGTCAGGCCAGACCTTGGGCAGGTGGTGGGAGCGGCAGCGGGCACCGGAGAGCGTGGCAGACAGACACCACACGGAGAGGGCGGGAGTGAAGGGGTGAGGGACAGAACCAGGAAGGGGAGGAAGGAGAGGGTCGGATTAGAAATGGGACAGTTCGGGCGGGAGGGGCGGGAGGAAGGGGTGAGGCCACAACACAGGCTCCACCTCTGGGCGAGGGCCGCCTGGAGGTCCCCTCCCCCAGGCCTAGACCCACAGGCTCGGGGCTCCTGAAGAGGACGGGGCTCCAGACTGTGCAATGCTACCTGTTTGTTTTGCAAATGAGGAAACTGAGGCCAGGAGCTCTCCCCAGGGCCAAGCAGTGTGACTGTTGGCGTGGAGTCCCCTGGGGCGGAAGCCAGGGCCTCGGGGAACAGAAACAGCCCGAGCGCCCAAGAGCGGGAGCCCAGGGACAAGTCACAGTAAGCCCACCGTGAGCACCGGGAGCACCGGGAGCCAGAGGAGTGCTGGCGTGGGACCGAGTCCAGAGGACCGCGGACGCCCAACCCTGGATCCGCCAGCTGCCAGCGCGGCCACCCAGGAGGGGACGCGCGACAACTCAGATAAGCCGTGAAACCATGGTGCTCAGTGAAAGGCGCCAGGCCCGAAAGACCCCACACTGTCTGATTCTCAGACCTGTTTCCTCATCTGCAAACAGAGTATTTACCTGACACGCCCGCCCCGCCTGCGTGGCTCAGTGGTTGAGCATCGACCTATGAACCAGAAGGTCACAGGTTCGATCCTGGTCAGGGCACATGCCCAGGTTGCAGGCTTGATCCCCACTGTGGGACTTGCAGGAGGCAACCGATCAATGATTCTCTCTCATCAGTGATGTTTCTATCCCTCTCTCCTCTCCCTTCCTCTCTGAAATCAATAAAAATATATTCTAAAACAAAACAAAACAAAAAAAAAACCTTTGGGGGAAAAAATGACACACCCGTGGTTGTAAGCTTTCACATGAAGGGCTGTGACATGTCCAGTGAACGTCTGTGCCAGCTATAACGCCTGCTACTGTCCCTGGAGGCATTTGCATTTGGTGCTGGTAAGAAAAACATCGAGGTATACATGTGCATGCATGCATGCACACACATGTGTGTGCACACGATATAGGTATGCACACGCACTATCTCTGTGTGGTGCCTGTGTGTGCTGGTGTGTGCATGTGCACAATGAATGCCTGCATCTGTGTGTATGCATGTGTGGGTGTGCATGTGCTCCTGTGTGTCTGTGTATGTGCGCTTTTGAGTGTGCACACGTGTTGTTCCTTCTCCCGGAGGGAACACTGGGGGAGAGAGTGGGTGTGGAGCCGCTGCGGGAACCCCAGAGCTGAGCAGCTGCTGTGGGGGAGGGGACTCCGCCGGCGCACGCCCCGCCACCCCAGCTCACCTTGTTTTCATCAAAGACGTTGAAAACAAATGTGGCGAACTTGGTGGGGTCCCCGAACGGGAAGAACTGCTTGTAGATCTTCTGGAAGCCCGCCGAGTCCAGCTGCCCGCTGGGGCAGTCCTTGATGAAGCCTTTGTACCTGAGGGGCAGTCCAGCAAGGGAGCGTCAGAGACACCAACGCCGCCACCTGCCAGGAGCGCCTCCCTCAAGGCGGGGGGTCCCTGTCCAGAGACCCACACACGGGGGTCCTGGGCACAGGCCCGCCGTCACAGGCACGGGCTCTCCCACGCTGCCTCTCGCGAGCTGTGTGACCTGAGGCAGGTGGCTGTACCTCTCTGAGCCTCGTTTGTACAAGGGCTAAGAGTCGCATGAGAAGTCACCCAGACAGTGTACACGGAGCAGCTGGCCACTCAACCTTGCTCCCCGCCGGGGGGCTGAAACAAAACCCACCAACAACACCCCAAAGCCACACTCCTGCCCAAAACAGTTCTGCCCCCTCGTTCCCCACTTTCTCTCCGGACCCCTCCTCCCCGGGTGCTGGCAGAGTTAGTGGGCAGAGCCACCATATGGGGCCGGCAGCTGGCTCCTCCCACATGCCTGCACCCCAATACACACACACCCTTCTCCCCGTCTGTTCCCAAGGACCGTGTAACAGACACGGAGCAGCAGTGTGAGCTTGGAGGGAACCTGGTTTGTTCCAAGTGGACTTGTCCGCCGTGTATCCCAGTGCCCAGCACAGAACCCTCCAGACACCCGGCTGACAGCAGCGTGGCTTTGCAGCCCAAATCCCGGCTCTGCCATACGCTAGCTGTGCAACCTCGGGCAAGTGCCCTGGCCTCTCTGAGCCTCAGCCTCCTCATCCACAAAGGGGACGGTTGTCACACCCATGTTGTCAGGATCAAGGTGGTGCGTGTAGCACACTTGGCATAAAGAATCGCCACTAGCGGGATCTGCAGGATTATGCCCTGCGGTGCCCTACACAAAGGGGCCCCGGCAGAAAGGGAAGCCAGAGAGAGGGGTCGCCACTACCAGCTGCAGCTCTCACCTCCCCAGTAATGCTGTGCGGGGACCTTTGCAAACCGCGGTCTCCTGGAATAATGCCCTAAGGGCCCTGTGAGCGAGGTACTGCGGTGAGGCCCATTGCATGGATGAGGAAACTGAGGCTCAGAGGGTAGATCTGAGTCCCCACAGCCCAGACTGGAGCCAAGGTGGGGACTGAGGTGAAGAGCCCAGATCTCGGAGACGGGGTCGCTGAAGGCCTTCCCGAATGGTGCGGGGTTCCGCTCGCCTCTCACGAGCCAGGAGAGGGTTCGGGGAGTGTTGTGCTTGAAGTCGCTGCTGGTGACCAGGAGCTGGGAGGAGCTTTTCGGGGACAAGACCTGATCCATGACCTCAGGCCTCCAGGCCTCTGGGCCAGGATGGTCCCTGGGCAGGAGGAGGGGCGTGCCTGGCACCAGGACTTGGTGATCCAAGAGGGGGCACACTCCGCTGTCCCCACGCGGCTCTGGGTGCGGGATAGGGGCCGTACTTGCCCTGGGCTCCCAGAGCTCCTCATTTTTGCAACCATGTATGTTACTGAGCGTTTCTAAAAGCATTTAAAACAATAAAGAGAAAACAAAAGGCTCCCAACCGCGCCTCCTGGATGGTCCCTGGGAGGTGTGGGGGGGGGGTGGAGAGGGGGGAGGCCTCACAGCCCCCAGTCTCTCGCCTCCGGGGAGGGGAAGCTGTTTGCTCAGGGCCTCAGCCACAGCCACAGGAGCAGAGCCATCAGCATTGTGAGCAGCTGTGGTGGGGCCGGCAGGGGCGTCCCTAGAGCATTAATGAGGGCTGGGGGCTGGGAGGCGGGGGCCCAGGAGGTGGCCCAGGGGGGCGTCTTCAGGGGCCTTCTGGTTATCCCTGCAGAGGCTGTCACTGTCTCTGAGGGCCCCAGGCCCCTGCCCATTAGGGGTTGCCCCGGCCTCTTTTTTGCCAACTGGCCCCATATTTCATACCCAGACACACTTTCTAGATCTTGCCATCCCATGTCCAGCCTCCAGACCTTTGTACCTGCAGGTCATTCTGCCTGCAAAGCAAATCTTCCTCCTCTTAATCAGGCTAATCCACTCTCCACCAAGTCCCAGCTTAGATGCCGCTTCCTCCAGGAAGTCCTCCCTGGCCACCCAGAGGCCACATGGCTCCTCCATTCCCTTGTATGTGCCCAGCACAGTACAGACCACACCTCCAGACTGGGTCCCCCACTGAATGGGAGCTCCCTGACACTGCGGTACCCCAATGCCTGGGATGGGGCCTGGCATTTAATGGGGCTTAGTAAGTGTCCAGTGAGATAAATAAATGGAAAGAAAGGAAAAGACAGACAGACAGACAGAGAGAGAGAGAGAGAGAGAGAGAGAGAGAGAGACTCATAATTTCGCAAGATGTTAAAAAATTGGTCAGTTAAGGTCAAAGAGTTTCTGAGGGAGGACTGCCAGGGTCCCTGGACAGAACCGAGAGCTCCCTGCAGTTGGTTAGAGAACTGCTGATGTGTTCCCCACCTCCATGGACTGATGGGGAGCTGGGGCCCAGAGAGGGAGAGAGACTGGCCCAAGGTCACACAGCAAGCTAGCAGCAGATCAGGGCTCAGACCCAGGGCTGCCTCCCAGGCTCCCACCTTGCCTGCCCCTCTGGGAACTGGGCTGCACCACCCCGGTGTCAACACACAGGCAAAGCGCCCTCTACCCCAACATTGCATGACCCCCCTGTTCATCATCAGAAGGCGGGGACCCATGCCTCGCTGTCCCAGACACCCCAGTGTCCCCGGGCCCCGAATCCACCCTGCAAGTCGTCACAGCTCCGAGGCCAGCACTGCATGGCGCTCGAGGTCCAATCCTGAGGGGCAGCCCATCCCCCACTGGCTGGCTGAGTCGGGACACCCCACACAGGCACACCCCGCACTGTGGGCACCCGGGGGAGCTGCTGCCTCATAATAAAGTTCACGCCCAGAAATTTCTTCCCCACCTGGGCCCAGGCCTCAGGTTCCAACAGGCCTGGAACTCCTCCGTCTCCTCCACGCACTGCCCTCCCTCCCACATACTTGGAGCCGCCAGGAAGCCTGCTGCTCTGCCCGGTGCCCAGAAGACCTGGTCCTGTCCCGTCCTGTCCCGTCCTGTCCCGTCCTGTCCCGTCCTGTCCCGTCCTGTCTCGCTATCTCGCTGTCTCACTGCGAGAGGGACCCTGAGCAAACCCCTTCCCCACAACGACCCCTGACTTCCCTTCTGGGGTAATAGGTGGTGTAGCCTCGGCCAGGGTCCCTCCACCCAGCTCCACTGACGTTTGGCCTAGATGGCGGGGTCTGTCCTGCGTGTTGTGGGGTGTCAGCAGCATCCCTGGTCTCCACCTGCTAGATGCCAGGAGCACCCCTCCCCCAAGTCGTGACAACCAAAAGAGTCCCTAGACCAGGGGTCCTCAAACTACGGCCTGCGGGCCACATGCAAATACAAATATTGTATTTGTTCCCGTTTTGTTTTTTTACTTCAAAATAAGATATGTGCAGTGTGCATAGGAATTTGTTCATAGTTTTTTTTAAACTATAGTCCGGCCCTCCAACGGTCTGAGGGACAGTGAACTGGCCCCCCGTTTAAAAAGTTTGAGGACCCCTGCCCTCGACATTGCCAAAGGTCCCCAGGCAGCAGAACCACGAACTAGCTGGTCTCTGGGGACCCCCACAGGCTTGGGGGTGTCGACCGCAAGTGACTGCCTTTGCCGTGGTCTGTGATTCCAAATAGCAGCCACCATCAGGCACCTACTGAGAGCGGGGCTCAGGCCGACGTGCTTGCCAGGCACAATCCACCGAGCTGTCCCCCAGCCCAGCAGGCGAGGACCACTGTGCCTATTGTACAGATGGGGAAACTGAGGCTGAGGACAGTTAAGTCCCCCCCTGGCCCAGGGCCTTCACACGGCATTTCCTCCTCCTCGCCGCTGACTCCTGCTTCCCCTTCGCTTCTGGCTCCAGAGCCTCCCCCTCAGAGAAGCCCAGGGTGGAGATGAAACAAGAGAGCCCCAGACCTGACAGCTGCATTCTCACGCTTCTTGGGAAGGGGAAGGGAAAGGAAATCTGCTTTTCACAACAACACGAAGCCGCTTACAAAGCACTCCCGGCTGAACGCTGGGCTTCCTCCCCGGGGCCTCCCACGCCTTCTGTTCCCACTGCGCCAGCCGGTGTCTCCCAGGGGACTCCAGGCGCTTCGTGTCCCTCCGTCCCTGCTGCCCCCAGAGCCCAGCACTGGCTTGGCACATAGTAGGTGCTCAGCCAAGATTTCCTGAACAAACCACCCAACAAACAAATGATGGACGAAATGAATGAACAAATGAAAGACAGTGAATGCATGAGCGAACGAACACTCGCCATGACACCTGGGTCCGAGTCCAGCTCAGCTCCTCGCTTTCTGGGGGCCCTGAGGAGGCCCCGGCGCTGCCACGGCCTCGGTTCCCCATCGGCCCGGCCTGCCAGGACTTTCCGGAACTCACGGCCCTCTCCCCACAGAACACTGTTCTCTGGGACCCATCCTGCTCCGAGCCCGCCCCGCCCTCCATGCCAATCGCCCGGGTGCCGAGGTTCTGCCGTGCACTGTGCTCTCCGCAGCGGAGCGGTGGGGACTGAATAGATGGCCGGTTTGTGCCAAAACCAGTTTGGCTCAGTGGATAGAGCGTCAGCCTGCGGACTGAAAGGTCCCAGGTTCGATTCCGGTCAAGGGCACTTACTTGGGATGCGGACACATCCCCAGTGGGAGATGTGCAAGAGGCAGCTGATCGATGTTTCTCTCTCATCGATGTTTCTAACTCTCTATCTCTCTCCCTTCCTCTCTGTAAAAAATCAATAAAATATATATTTTTTAAAAATGAATAGATGGCCGGTTCATAAGAGAGCCGGACCCCAGCTGCCCTCAGCCACGCGCCTGGAGCCCTGACTCCAGAGGGCCCCGGAGGAGGGTTCCAAACACACCCAGGAGAGATGCCGCCTCCTTTCTCCTCTCCCACCCCCACACCCTGCCTTGGGCTTTGTGGGGTTTCCCAGAGCAAGAGTCAGCAGGTCTGAGCCCTCATATCCTGGAGGAGGAGCGAGCTGGACCCAGATTCCACACACACACACACACACACACACAGAGCAGTGTGACCTGGGCACGTGCCTCCACCCCTCTGAGCCTCAGTTTCTTCATCTGTAAAATGGGGCTTCCCCTAGACCAGGGGTGAGGATCATCTGGCCCGTGGGCTGTGCAAGGCCTGCGAAATCCTTTGCTCTGGCCCTGCCAAGGCCTTAGGGTGAGTTAATGAAATGTTTGACCAAATAGAGCAGGCTGGTTTTTAAGCTGATCATTTTGCATGGCCTGTGAACATTGTTGTAAACACTCGAATGTGCCTTGGCAGGAAAAAGGTCCCCACCCCGGCTGATTTCCTGGCCGCACGGATTTCAGCATCAGCACAGTGCCCGGCCCACAGGGGGCGCCCGAGGCTGTGAACTGCAAGCCTGGCCCAGGAGGACAGCTGGCCCGGCTGAGGCGGCTGCAGGATTCCTCCTGCTCCAGCCACCAGTTCTGTGGCAGCACTGCCAGGTATTTGGCTACTATAAAGGTAACAATAGCATTATATAAACACTGGAAAACAGAAAATATGAGAGAAAAAAACTACTAAATATCGGCATAGAACACGACGATCTGTCTCGTGCCGGAGACACAGGCCCGGGGGTCAGTGCTGGCCTCTCAGAGGAGGTGACATGGGGGCGGAGATGCCAAGATCTGGGGGCAGAGGGAACAGCAGGGGGAACAGCAGGTTGCAGCTCTGAGGTAGGAAGGAGCTCGGCGTGGGTGAGGATGCCATTGTGGCTGGTGCCTGGGGAGCAGGGGGAGGGGGTGCAGGCAGAGAACGGGGGAGCCCTGAGGGCCAGAGGAAGGCACGGGTTCAACTCCCTCCTAGCCCTGAAGGCACCACCATAATGAACCAAAGGACAGTGACTTGAGGTCCATGGAACTTTCTGGCAAAGAAAAGATCATCTCTCTTCTGTATAAGCTCTTTAGAGAGAGTTCCCCTGCGCAGGACTGGGTGTCGCGAGGCCTGGGGTGCCAGTTTTACTGAGGGAGCCCGACAGCTGCTCCCGACAGGCCCCCCTCAAACACGCCAGGCCTGTCCCACCCCGAGCCCCTGTCCTGGCTGCTCCCTGTGCCGGGAACACACCCTCCCATGGCCGAGTCCTCGCCCGGAAGTAGCTCACATGTCTGTCAGCTTCATGAACGAACGACAGCCACTCCACCTGCATGGGCCTCAGTTTCCCCCCCTGCATAATGAGGAGGGGCCCTCGATCTCAGGACTGCTCCAAACGTTTTAGATAAATTAGCTCACTTATTCCTCACAATATTCCATCAACGTGTGATTATTATTACCTTCACTTTTCAGTTGGGGAAACCGAGGCACTGAGAAATCCCATAACTTGTCCAAGGCCACTCAGCCAGGACGTGGGGGCTCCGGACCTGGACTCTGCAGCCCACCTGGCCACTGTGCTCCCTGCCTCTCCTGGGGGAGGCCCAGGTGTGAGCAGGGGAGGGCGCAGGGGGCTCAGGTGGGCCCTACACCTGCGACTCAGAGGCCTCATCTAGGAAACGCCATGATGGGGCGGGTGGCTGCGAGGATGAAAGGAACAAGGACGCATCTCTAGCCTCAGCTCCCGGTCTGAACAGCGGAGGGAAGACTGCTGGCCATGTCTGTCCTCTCGTGGGCACCGTGCTACAACCTGTACAGGAAATGTCCCCCCAATGCATCACCATTCCCGTCAGACACACGGGGGAACTGAGGCCCGGGAGTTGGATCCTTCAAGGTCCCTAGGAGAGGAAAGCTCAGCCGGGCTCTGGAGTCCATTCCTAAACAACCCGACTTTACTAGAAGGTTTGCAAACTCAGCGAGCTAACCTCCTTGCTCTCCTAACCATGCCCCCAACTCAGGCTCACCCTGTCTGCTCCACATCCCACAATGACTGAAAACATGCCACTCTCCTATGCCCGGCCAGGGCAGGCATCACTAATCCACTACAGAGCTCATCAATCGCTCACTGCCATCATTTCCGTTTGCTCCCTGACATACAGCCTCAGCCGGCGACACTGCAGGCAGCCACTTCGGACTGATGAGAGCTGCCAGCCGAGAGGAAACCTGTTGGCCACCCTTGACCCCGCCTAATCAATCACCTTGCAGAAGGGACAGCTGCAGCCAGAAAAGGGAGGAGGCTTCCCAAGGCTACAGGATGATCCAGTCACGAAGCTGGGCCTGGGACCCCGAGCCCTCACTGGTTTCTGGTCCCAG